ACCTTTCTTGGCAAAAACACAGTCTAGACGAGATGGCCCAGCACCATCTCCAGCCGAATCTCAAGTGTCTGATGCAGGAAGACAGATGAGTGTAAACATTAGGCCATACTTCTGAATCTCTTCAGGTTTGGTTTTGAGTTTCTTTTGTCTGTTTGGTCTAGAGGTACAGTCACCTCTGGAAGCCTTATAACTCTGTTTGTAGGGATTGCACTTACCTTAATATGTTTACTTGAGAGGCAAGGTGTGCTAGCAGGAGACCAGTCATTCAGTCACGAGTCTGACAGGTGCCTGGACAAAACCCATCTCTCCCAGATGGCAAATGCCAACCAAATGCCCCTGAAAGTCCCAGAGTAGTGAATGGGTGGAGGCAGGTTGAGTCCTGGAGGAAAGCTTTATATATCTCCATATATAAATGTCTCCATATATGAATCTCTCCATTTGCTCCTCCCTGAGTCTGCCCTCTGGTGACTCCCAAGCTAGTTAGATGTCTAGTCTGACCTGGTGTGGTTACTCTTATGTTGTTATAGAGTGTGAGCAGAACTAACAGGCAACCCTCCCAACCTGGCTGTAGACATGTTGTATGCAAAGAGTATTATTTCCTGACACAGTGAAATGGAATAGAGTACCAGCTCTTTCCAGTTCAGCTCTTTGCTCTCTCTTTTAAATCTTTAACAATTCACAGATGCACCAAACCCTTGCCAGGGAGACGACAAAGGACCACTACTCCCCAGTCACAAGCACAGGAAACCAGAGTACATCAGCAGAAAAATATGCTTGGAGTGAAAGCCCAATTCCATCGAGTGTTAGCATTCACCTGGAGGTGGACAAGATTTCACATTTATTTCTGGGTTGTTCTAGTGGCTTTGTTATCTAGACTAAACATTCATGGGTACACTTTGAAACACACTCATAATTTTCCCAGAAAAGGGAACAGTCGTTGAATTTAAAAGCAAGTTCACAGAAGTCACTCTTTACTCTGCCTTCACCATCTGCCTTATGGTGGCTGAATCACTGAAAAAATGACTCAGGACGTTTTCCTTCTTGAGACCAGAGTTGCATCAGAACCATTTCTACTGACATGTGATCATAGGAGACACCAGGAGAACTCTTCAGTCACAGACTAGACACAATATTTCATTTATACACTTAAGTAGAGTTTTCAATCTGTAATTTTTATTTTGGGTATTTTTAATATATAAAAAGGAACCAGACAACATCTACACTTTGTTCAAGAAGTAACTGAAGGAAAAAGTAAAATCTCTCATATCTGCTCAATGCTGTAACTACTTAATTTAAAATAACAGCAGTGTCATAAAATAAAAAAATATCTTAAACATAACTATGTATTTAAGCTTTCCTTTTGCAATTGCCCCAGGCTAAGTAATGCACAACATTTAGAGTAATTTGAGCATCATTGTAGCCTTCTGGTTTTTTAACGTGTGCGATATGAGATTCTGAGTTTCTGGAGGTGAGCAGACACCATGTGCCACTTACTTTACTGTTTTGTTTCAGAGATTTGACTTATTGAGAAGTAAGCCTAATGCAAATAAAATGGCTTTTCCCTCCTGGCATTTGGCAGGCATACAGAAATGCAAAAGAAGAGCAGAGTACCTCCAGACACTCACTTCTCAGAACTGTGTTTGGAAAGAATAGAAAGCATTTAAATTCAAAACGAACCATCTGTGACAACCCCTAAGCAGTGCCTCATTTCAGAAAGTGCAAGCCTGGGAATGAAAGTGAAACTGTATGTAACTGTCGATTAAAATAACTTAATATAGGCTTTTCTGCCTTTGGGGGAAGGGTGGGCACAGATTTTCTGGAAATCCTCTCTTTTTCATTTCCTTAGCATATATTTGTAGTTCAGGAGAACAGAATCATATCTGTAGCCAACATATATTACACATCTCATGGGAGAAAAGGTGATGGAAGAGGCACTATCATTGTGGATCAGCTCTCAGCAGTTCATCCACAACTGGTATAAGCTAATACGACTTCACATCAAAATTAATTCTAAAACAATTTCTAAGAGAAGAGTGATTTTGTATTAGAAATAAGATATTCACTATTCCCCATCTGGGAAATCTAAAATGTTGTTTCTTAGACAGTTGCATTCAGAAATGAAAACCAGAGGGTTTCTGTCAGTTTACACAGATCAGAAATAAACGGAGCAATGGCAGCATAGCCAAGGTAAGTAGAAACACATGGAAATTCCTGCATGCTTAAACACTATATATACACTCTACGTTGGTTGGCTACACTTTTGGATTTACAGGATTTAAATCAGATCAGAATTTGGTCCTCTGAGTATTCAACAGGCAGTTCTGGGAAAGGGTCCAGAAGAATTCAGTCAGTAACCACGAAGACTGTCATTTTGTAAGATACAAGTTGCAGACTGAAAAAATATGTATTGTTAGGCAGTAAAATTACAGGTTTTTTCTTATTGAATTTTGAGCTACACTGCAAGCTGTAGAAAATACTCAGCTAATAGAACATTGTGTATATTTATAGAATCTGGAAAATACCCTCAGGACAGCAGCTCCCTGTGCTGCCAGGATACTTTCCATAGGCACTGAGCTACAGTTGTTCATGTGTGAACACCAAGTGTGTTTCAAGGCCTTTCATTGTCTTGCTGCTATTCAGTAAGCCATTTTGCCAACCCAGTGGTTATTTCAAAATGTAAAAAAATGAAAGGTATTTTAAATACAGTTTTATCAACATTCAGGCGTTAATCTATGGTTAAAACAAGATAGTGGTGCAGCAGCAGTTTGAGCTCTGCTTGTCTTGAATATGCAGAGAGTTCTACCACAAACAAAGTCCAGTTGCAGGACTGGACCACAGCAGTGAGAGATCCGTGCACGCCTTTTGAGCAAATCAGGGACTTGCCATGAACAGATCTGCTTACTGAGAGCTACCCCAGAGCACGGCTGGGGCTGCATCAGCAGCCCTGAGATCTCAGCTGTAACTTTGTCTTCCAGGTATTCCTTTCAAGACGAAGAAGATATGTTCATGGTGGTTGATCTCTTACTCGGAGGTGATCTGCGTTACCATTTGCAGCAGAACGTTCACTTTAACGAAGGAACTGTTAAGCTGTACATTTGTGAGCTGGCGCTTTCCTTGGATTATTTGCAGAGATACCACATCATTCACAGGTGAGTGAAATTCATTTGAGGGATGAGCTGCTTTCTTTTGGCAGAGCAGAGGAATTTTATCACATATCTGATTACATGGTTATGTTTTTTCAAGACCTCTGGAAAGTTTTCATTGTTATCCAAGGGTGGAATTTGACTCTGAAAAGCATTTTTAAGTGTTTTCCTTCTGCCCTCAGCCATTCAGTAGCCCTATATCCTTGTCATACTACCCTTTTCTTGTTCTGATCTCATGTATGTTTTCTACTATGGTCTTTAAACATCAAGTGCAACCCATAACAGCATCCTGGCTGTTTTTAGTTTATTTTTAGTTCTCCAGTGTCCCAGTGTTCCTGAACACAAATACATTGTAATCCAGTACAACAACTTCACACAACAACATCAGGGAAAGGTCACAAAACCAAAGGCTGAGAATAAAGAATAATTTGTTTACTTGCAGAATCTGCATGAAGGTCAGAAGGAAGAAGAGAGGTGGGGAAATAAGAGAAATAGTAGAAATAAATTGGAGCAGTGATAGATGGTGCATCTTTTTGCACTTCTTTGATGACAACAATCTGTTATTTTTACTGCCTTACAGCTGGCAATCACAGTATTCATGTCAAAAAAGGTATGAAGTATCAGGGTCTGTTTGTTTTCCTTGAACAATCTGGCATTCAACTGAAGCAGAGGGGTAACTTCTCTTTTTATGTTAACACAGCAACTGCGAAATTATAAAATTATGGGCTTGAGCCTCTATTTTACTCTTTTTAGGCTAAATTCAGGATATTTCTTCCTGATTTACAGTGGTCTGAATAAATAAATAATTAGGTTTTTGTGTTATTGAAGCTTGATGTGCGTTTCAGAGACCAAACTAAACTAAGCTGTGCCGTAGATCTTTCAGTGTCCAGTATAAATGAATTCTTCCAAATATATTCATTGAGAGTTTTCATCCTATCTACCTACCAGAGCTGCCTCATGATTTTGCAATAAAGAACCAATAAAAAGTATGATCTGACTTTCTGAAGAGTGAGGATCCATACTAAATCTCTCTGATCTGAGCTGCAGGGATAGAAGGGTGTTCTGTATTACTGCAACTGTGCAAGACAAAATCCAAGTGAACATTGCAACAATTGTTTTGCTTGCAACTTAAACTCCCACAAATGTTGCAAGCAATTTCTGAATTTTGTATCTTTAGCACACTATTATTATTTTAGTACATTTCCATACATTTTGCATACGTTCCTTTCAGCTAATATTTTAAAAGTAGCGCTCAGAATTTTGTCTGACCTTTGTTTCCACGCCTTAAGGATTGTTCTTGGTGAAAAACAAATTGATGAGTGTTTTTCTCACCCTCATTTTAATGATGAGACATTTTATGCAAATATGCTGTCAAAACATTCATGAGATAATCCAGTTTGTAACCAAACTTGTATTTTGCTACAAGCTTGTGACTTAAAAATGTCTCACAGAAAAGTCTGTGAAAGGTAACAGATGTCTTGAGAGAATGAGGGACCGGACTGAAGTCATTGTGGTTGTTTATAGTTTTTTGGGTTGTTTTTGGTTTTTTGTTTTTTTTTTTTTTTGTGACAGTGTCTGCATTGACATGGTCCAACTGTGAAATTGGGCAAGACACTTCATTCTCCTCTGTACTATTTAATCATGACTAGTAAGCACTTGATTTCCCTTAATTTTCTCTTTTGCACTGGTTGTAGCGTAGAGTAACACCACTGTCTTCAACACTTGTTGATTTGCACCAAGGCAGGGGAAGGCATGGGGATTGGGAGTTGGTTGTTGGCTCCATCTGGGGGCAAGTTCTGGGGCTTGGTTTCTGCTTCCACTCTGTACCAAAAGTTTTCACAGAACCAGATGCATCAAAATGCCTGTTTCTTAGCCTGTGGCAGGTCTCACTGGCTGGTTAGCTGGGGTTATTGTTTAGGGTATAAAGGATCTGGTTCAGGACTCCACTGTGTTACAGAAGAGATGTTTATTTTGAATCTGGCAGACCTGAGATCAGAACATGGCTCTCCCACTTCACTGCTTACTGCTCAGATCACCCAGCTGTGACATGAGGAGCCTTTTGCCTCTCGTCTTCCCACCAATTATCGTAAAATCCCAAATGATCCACACACCAGTGAACATGTTATTGAACCAGAAGAGTCCCAGCACGTTCTGCCTTCCACCTTACCACCACCTGGAACAGCACTCTGCGGGACAGGGCTTCTGCTGCCATAAATCTCCGTAGCATGTCTGGTACCAAGAGCACAATGCTGATTTAACTTGGCTCAGGAGCTGAGCCAGCAGTGATGCACAGTGAGGATGTCAGCCATTACATTATGGTGTCAAACACAGTCTTGATCAGAAATTAAACCAGTGAGCTGGTTGGTGTTTATACTTTGTGGTAGCAGACCTCAGCAATATCATTGTGACAGAGTGCTTCCAGTCAGCATTCACACGCTAACCTACAAAACTGTATTAGATCTTTCATTTTTCAATGAGTGCATTGGCAGCAAAAGGGGGGAAAAAAAGGGTTAGTGAGTCACAGTCATTGAGAGAGTCCCCTACTAAATTTTGTCTGGGCTACAAAGAAAGAATAGTTGAATGATTCATCAGACTGGGTAGGTGGATTTTCAAATTACAGTATTATAAAGAGCTGAATACATGATGTGTGAGTCAGGAACTTAACTCCTCCTCAATATTTACAGATGTGTATGAAATGTGTTCAGGTTTCCATTACTATTGCATCCGGCAACATGACAGAATGGTTTTTTTTCAAGATTAACCTGCAACCCCAGGAGTTTGCTATAAAAGCAAGTGGTAATGAAGGGGACAGGGATTACCAGGCATGTGTGAATGGATGTAGAAGTGTTCACATGAGTGCTATGCCAGTTCCCTCTGGAGATGCCCTGCAATGTGTCTGTATTTGCTGGTGTGGTTAGTGTTGTGTACTTTCAACAACATTGTTTCTGCAGGGACAACTTTAATGATAAATAGTGTAAAAACCACTACTGTTCTGGTATGTTTATGAAACTTGTAATTTTTATTAATTACATCCATGTATATAAGTTTCATATTTGTCACACATAATTCTGCAATAGTGAATTTATTTACTATGGCACATTAATAAATGTTGCCCTGTGTTTCTCGCAGCTCTATTGTAAAAGTTTGCATTGACATAGATGTTCAGACAGAATTATAAGAATTTTAAAAAGAAAATCTATAAGTTTCAAGCTGTGATTTGAAGACTATTCTAGGAAAATTTTTCACTTGCACAACAGCTAACTTAATATTGAGATGTCTTTAAATTGCTGGTCACAGGTATAAGCTACATCACAAAAACTTATTTCTTCACAGCCTTGGTGTAATAATATTTTATCCACATTTCTTAAATGAAAAAAATCATTCTTTGAAAGCTGGATGAGTGGTGTTTGTTATAGACCTTCAGATCCAGTACACACAGAAAGGCTTCTGACAATTCACATGGTCTCATTCATTCTCAAATGTTGGATCAAATCCGTCATTCCGCCGTTTTAAGACAGTATGACTAAACATTCTTTCCAGTGCTGCTTGTATAATACCAGTGAATAATGTGTTGGACAAAAGTTTTCCCATCAAAGGCTGAATAAACTTATTTTGGCCATGAGTAACTCAACCTCCTTCTTTCATAAATGTTTCTGTTCATACATTTCAATAAAACCACCTGCTTCCTCACCAAAGGAGGCTGCCCATTTTCATTCAGCCAGTTCTTCCAGCAGTAGCACCAGTGCTGTCTCTCCCAGGATGCTCTTGCAGCTAGAGCCTTGGCTCAGAGCAGTGCTGGCCCTGCAGTGCTGCAGCTGCTGCCCAAGTAACATGCTTGTGCTCATAAAAATCACATTTTCTCTTTCTAAGGGGGCAAGTGTTAACTGCATTGCCCTTACAACTTCTCATCATTGTTGGCTCCGTCAGTTTTCATCTGCTCAGAAAGGAGGCTGGATGTGGCAGATGTCTAAAAAGGAAATTGCAGTAACCTTCCAGCACAATTTTATGATACTGGACTAGCTGTTTGATCTACGTACCCAGGGCTTTGTTACTTCAGCAGGTTTTTAAATGCAAAACCATTTGTGTGTGTGTATGTGTACATATCTAAGCATACGTACACATTTTTGGTTGAAGCACATCATGATTGGAGTCAGTCTGGCTTGGCAGGTCTGTGTGGTGTGGCTCCTGTGATCACCACTCTGTTTTCTAATCCAGCAAGTTCTGCTTCCAGTGGAGAACAGCACCAGGAGCTACTCCAGCTCTGAACAGCTACTCAGCAGCAGTGCAGGGTAGGGGAAAACCAATGGAAAACAGTGACAAATCGAGAATCACATTTTCCTCTGCCAGCTGAACCACTGCAGAGCAATGATGTCTTGCTGCTACCAGCTAAGTAAGATGTACTCTTCGATTAGCACTGCTAGGCTGGGCTATGGTGCAGGAAATGCCCGTTTGTTCCTTACTGTTGAGCCTTTCAAGGTGTCCAGCACTCTGGTGAAATAATATGTCTAAATGATTAGATTCTTCTTTAAAATTGGCCTTCCCATTCTTACTTGTGACACCACACACCAAAAACACAAACTCTAATTTAAAATGTTCTCTTCATAACACTGTCCATTTAGTATGGAAGCAGTAACTATGTTTGGAAAGTATTTGAAAATGGAGAATTTTCCCTTTGTTGTTTTTCACAGATGTCACAGGCAGAATGGTGCCAACCTGAGATTTACCAGGACATATTAAAAGGACACAGTTCTTTATGGATTTCAGCTCATACTAATAGTCTTTTTCTTGCTGGTAAGCATGTGCAGATGAAGAAGAAAATGAAGTAGAGTCTGAAGTAGATGAAACAGGAAAAAAACCCCCATAATATGACTACTATTCAAAAGCACTGCCAAAGAAGATGACAGGTCAAGAGGCCTGTCCATTGAATTTCCTTAATTTGTCTTCCTATGTCTCTTCCATGTCATTGTATTATGTTCTTTAAACAAGTGCAAGCCCACATTCTTTCC